TATAATAAATTGTATAAATCATTGATTTCATTATTTAATTTAATGAAACTGTTTAATATGATAAATTTGTTTCATGTATTTTTTATTTTGATTAAGTTTGTTTATTAAATTAATATAATAAAGATGATAATGTCGATAATTAACGTTTTCTAAGATAAAAATGACTAATCAACCCTTGTAATTAAAAAAAGTGAAAAAAAAACAATTATGATTGGTTGAATGAAGTTTGTACAGTTTATACAAATGACTTAATTTGCATTTGATCTTTCCCCTATATATATATATATATATATATATATATATATATATATATATGGGTGGAGGTTCAAACGACAACATTTCCATTTTATGAGAACGCGAGAACACCCTTATCGCATGTGATAACACGCGTGAAGGGACCTAGTGGTATGCGGAAGATGTGTTCTACGACTTAATTTAAAATATTGATTAATATATATTTATTTCACAATGTGTTTGTTTGACTTGTACAATACTCAATTCACAATGTGAACATATTTGATGTGTTTGTGAAAAAAAAAGCACACATACAAAAGTTTCACATTGTGAACTAAATACATATAAACAAACACATTATGAAATAAATATATATTAATCAAAACATTAAATACGATAATTTGATGGAAAAATCATGTGCAACAAAACCTTAAGGTATAAGTTCTTACAGATCTCACAAATTTTAAAGTTTTCAAATGATTAAGCCCCTCTTTCTTTCCAAAAAAAAAAAAACACTTGAAAAAAAAGTATCGAAGAACTCATCTAAACCGTTAATAAAGATGATCTAATGAATGTGATATCAAAAAGATGGTTATAATCACATTTAGAAAAAAATCCCCCTATATTTTAAATCGAAAATTGAAGCAAAACAAATTACACCCAAAAAATAATTGCTTTATTATCTTTGTTTGTCATATGTTTTGATATATTTTTCATTCCTTTTTGGTTGGTCTTCGGTTCTTTTTTTCTTGAGATTCTCCTCTGATCTCACTCTGATATATAGGGGTATAATCAAATGAAAATCTCGATATTATGATAACTGTGATGATTTGTACTTTGAAGTGTTGTTTTACATGTTCTTTTTCATTTAAGCTTAGAACTCAATATGTTGATATATATATATATATATATATATATATGTATGTATGTATGTATGTATGTATATGTATATATGTGTGTTTGTTTCATAATATGAAACAAGTACATGTTAAACAAATTGTGAAACAAATAAATGATCAATATTTTAAATCTTAGCTTTGATGAGTTTTTATGTGAACGTTGAGAGAGAGAACTACCATAAGAGATGAATTGATCTTGTCAAAATTGACGGAGTCATCGGCCACGACAACACCCTTTGGAACGGGTCTTTAGTGGCCCCACCAGATGCACCACTTAGGAAGTACGTTAGGTATTACAAAGATTTCATATTGGAGCTTAACAAAGCTTTAGTTGTTGATCCGAGGGTAGAGATTTGCCAGCTCCCAGTAGATGATGAAATCACCTTATGTCGTCATGTAAGCTAATCACAAATCACACACTAAAATCAAGAATGCAGTTGTAAGATTACACTGCACGACAACTATTTTTTTTCTTTTAATGTTTCATATATTCACAACTTGTTAAAGGATCACATGTACAATTTCTCTTTCGTAATTCAACAAATGATAAATTGCATGAAAAATAATGTATTTTAACTTAATTCCTATTTCGGATAACGTACTTCCAAAACTTCCATTTTGGTACCTAAGATGTAAAGTTTTAAACATTTAAGTACTCGGATAACCGGTTGAAGCATTAACCGGTTATCATGCTGATGTGGCGAGTGATGTGGTATCCAACTCAGTATTATTTGCTGACGTGGTTAGGGATATGGATTTTTTTTAATCTAAAATTAGTCTTCAACTGTTTACTTAGGTACTTAAATATTTAAAACTTTATATCCTAAGTATCAAAATGAAAGTTTTGGAAGTACATTATCTAAAATAGGATTCAAGTTAAAGTACGCTATTTTTTCATGCAATTTACTTTTTAACAAATGTTAGTTGATGTTATTTTTCTTATTTTAAGCTGCTAAATGTTTTTAACAAATGTTAGTTGATGTTATTTTTTCTTATTTTAAGCTGCTAAATGTTTCATGTATTTCATTTTCATTTATCCCATACGTTTACCTTCATTTCGAACACAAATTTACCCTCAAATGCCTCGGTGCTCAATTGTTTTCTAATTTTTTTAATTTATAAAAAAATCAATCGATTCATTTTTAGACCAACATAATTACATAAATACAGAAAATCACTAATTATTTATTTCAAAAAACGGTAAATTGATAAAAGCAAATCAATGCTTATTTTGTATATGACGGAAGAATCGTGTGAGAAAATGAGTTAAGGTGAGAATTATAACAAGGAATCTAGACCCTCAGATCACTTTTAATCTCACGTGAACCCAACCCTATATATATATATATATATATATATATATATATATATATATATATATATATATATATGGGTCATTCAAGAGAGAACTGATTAATTTGTGGTAACTGTGAGATTCAATTTAAACCACAAATCAACGGATAAATTAGAAAATTAATAATTATAGTAGTTTGAGTTAAAGTTATAATTAGAGGGTATTTTAGGTATTTTTAAAAAACTCATATCTCATCTCTCCTCTCTCATCTCTCCGACCTCCAATCTCCGACATCTGGTGAACATTAATCCGGCAGGTACCAAGTAATCACAAAGATACACAATGTAATACTCATTGTGATATACTGTGATATCATTGTGATACCAACTCAAACCTTAAAAACAAAGATACACAATATGATACCCATTGTGATATACTGTGATACTGATTTCACCAGATGTCGAAGATTGGAGGTCGGAGAGATGAGAGAGGAGAGAGGATTTTTTTAAAAATACTTAATATGCCCTGTAATTATAATTTTAACTCAAACTACCATAATTATTAATTTCCTAATTTATCCGTTGATTTGTGGTTGAGATTGGACCTCACAGTATATATATATATATATATATATATATATATATATATATATATAGGGTTGAGTTCACGTGAGACCAGCCTGTTTTCATGAGACCCGTGAGACCACATTTTTACACGTAAACTTCACAGCAAAAACACTGTGAAGGTTTAAAAAAAAGTCGTACCTTCACAGCAAAAACACTGTGAATGTTTTAAAAAGTTACCTTCACAGCATTTTGCTGTGAAGTTTCAAGTGTAAAATGTTGGTCTCACGGGTCTCACGAAAACATGCTGGTCTCACATGATCCAAAGTATATATATATATATATATATATATAAAGAGAGAGAGAGAGAATTGGGTTCCAGTGAGAATAAAAGTTAAGGAGAGAAAAGTAAGAAGATATATCCACTATCGGATGCACATAAGAATGAGATCCACTGAGATGCACCCAATCAATCCCCATATCAAGCACGATTCATGGGTGAGTTTAAGATTAAATGTGATCAAGAGTCTACATCTATTCTTGCGTTTCTTATCTTAACTCTCTTCATCACACGATCCTTTGCGCGTGGACACACACACATGTATATAGTGACTTGGGGTCACGTGAGACCAACCTATTTTCCTGAGACCCGTGAGACTACTTTTTATGTTTTGAAGTTTCACAGCAAAACGAAGGTAACCTTCACAATGTTTTTGCTTTTTTTTACCTTCACAATGTTTTGCTATAAAGTTTCAAGTGTAAAAAAATGATCTCACGAAAACAAACTGGTCTAACATAAACCCAAACCCTATATATAGTATGCATATATATTTGATATTTTTGATCAGTTGATAATGTTGTGGTTTCGTCTTGTCCTTTTTCAATGGACTCATTTTCTTTTGACCTTGCCGTATCGAATATTCACGAGTAACAATAATTTGTTTTATGTTTAAAAGAACAAAAAGAGAAATATGAACTAAAACAAAGAGGAAATAAGGAAAATAAAGCTTTTTACGTCATTTTATAACTCTTAACTTAAAAAACCCAAGAGTTTAGTCGAAATACATGTAATCCGGTTCAAACATCACCATCATCCAACAATAAGAAAGGAATATAATTGAAGTTGAAAACTTAAATAACAAAACAAAACAAAATAAAGAAACTTACAAACTTCTAACTCCCGTTGACCATTGTCAGCTATGGTTGGCCAATCTAGTCATCAAAACTCAACTTGATGAAACCAACCCCACCCACCACCTTCCTTCCTCAACCATCAAGTGCCAATCGATTAACCCTTCCTATATAATCCACTGAACCCTTGGTTCCATCTCAGGTTCATTTCCACTACTCACCATATATATATATATATATATATATATAAAACCAATCAAGGTTTCAAACACATCATTGCATTAATGGCGGCCACCGGAGAAACTCAACCCGCAAAACACCAAGAAGTCGGCCACAAGAGTCTCCTTCAAAGTGACGCACTCTACCAGTACATTCTTGAAACCAGTGTTTACCCAAGAGAACCACAATCCATGAAAGAGCTTCGTGAAGTCACTGCTAAACACCCTTGGTAAGTGCTTAATCTCCCCCAACTTTACAACACATCAATGCGTTATTAGCTGGATGGACTTGATTTAGCTTTAACATTTGTGGGTGGATTTCGTGTTTCTAAATGTGTTATGCGCGTCGATCTTATGAAATATAGGAACCTCATGACAACATCTGCTGACGAAGGACAATTCTTGAATATGCTTTTGAAACTCATAAATGCTAAGAACACAATGGAGATCGGTGTTTACACCGGTTATTCTCTTCTTTCTACTGCCCTTGCTCTCCCCGACGATGGAAAGATATTGGCTTTGGACATAAATCGTGAAAATTATGAAATTGGACTTCCGATTATTGAGAAAGCCGGTGTTGCTCACAAGATCGACTTTAAAGAAGGCCCCGCTCTTCCTCTACTTGACCAAATGGTCAACGATGTAAGTATATTACAAATTTATAAGGTACATGGATATTTTTGTCAAGAAATAAAAATATGAAACTAATCTTTTTTTTACTTTCGATATGTAGGTAAAATTCCATGGATCGTTTGATTTTATTTTTGTGGATGCCGATAAAGACAACTACCTTAACTACCACAAGAGATTAATTGATCTTGTCAAAATCGGGGGAGTTATCGGCTACGATAACACTCTTTGGAACGGATCTCTAGTGGCCCCACCAGATGCACCACTCAGGAAGTATGTTAGGTATTACAGAGACTTCGTGTTGGAGCTTAACAAAGCCTTGGCAGTTGATCCGAGGGTGGAAATTTGTCAACTTCCCGTGGGTGATGGAATCACATTGTGTCGTCGTATTAGTTGATAAAACTGGACCAACTAAAATAGATGGTCATAAGATCGACATCACAAAAATTCTTTGACGTTTTATATGTTCTGGTAAAAATTGTAAACAGTCGCATCAAAATATGTAATTTAACGATTTCCATTGTAATTTTTTTCTTTTCTATTATCGTTTTCGATGTTATGCAAAGATTCTGTTTTCATTTGATACAACATGAAGTTATGTACGAAATCAAGTTTACCTTATTGTTTAAAAAGACTAAAATGCCCCTGAGTTAATGGATTTTTCTGGACATAGCAAACTACAAATATCATGATCGTAAAAAAAAAATGAATACCACACGACGACAAATAGTTTTATAATAAATGGAGTTTAGGGACTTGGTAGTGTTTTCTTTAAAAAACTACAGAGGCCAAAACTGTAATTTACTCAAGAAAATATACAGTTTGATCCATGGCGCGTCCTCTGAACTCCAACAATGGAGTAGTTCCCCTCCATACTTCAATTTTCAGTTTCATTTCATTTCCTAACTTGCAGAAACTGCTTCCAATCGTATACAGGTACTGCTCTTTGATCTTCAGTTTTCTTTCCTATAGTTTCTCGATTTCATCTCTGTGTTTATTTGATTATTGATATTATCTTTATGCCTTACACTCAATTGTCTTGCCGTTTCATCTTACCTTTTTGCACGAAGTTTTTCCATCCTTATTGGATTATCGATAATGTTCATAGGCCTTTTACTCATTAATTTAGTCGATTCAACTTGTTTCATGTTTGCACAATTAGGTTTTTTACGCAGCCTTTGATTTCACAAATGGTCAATTGAATTGGGTGAAAGGATTTCCGTTTCTGTAATTTCGTGTTGAAAGGATTTCCGTTTCTGTAATTTCGTTTCAGTATTTGTCACTAGGAAAAAGATTCTGCAAAAACCGATGGTTGTTATTGCTTGAATTTAATCCAAATCCCTCCTTAAAACGCGAATCGTGTAAACCCTAAGGGAGTAATGGGGAAGGACAAAATCAAACTAATTAGGGAGGTAATGTACTGCTAATATGTGTATGTAGCATCATCTTCGAGAATCATGAGTTAAATGTCTGGTTTATAGTAATTGTTTCTCTCCCAAATATTTGCAGCTAGAAAGATACTTCATGGGAGTATGGCTAAAATTAGTGAGAAAATTGCACAACTAGGGTGGTTTTGTGGATCTTCTATAACAACCGCCATTACGGGGAGGACCTTTATTCCTGCTTGCAAAACGACTGTTAAACTAAAGAACCCCAGATTCCTCTTTCCAAGAACTCAACCGTTGTACCGGTGTTGCAGAGCAATGTCGAAGAGCAAGGGAACCTTATCTTCTCCCTCGCTGCTTGTGGTGAGGGAAAACATCAATTTAACCGATGAAGAGAGGCAGATATTTGAACGTTTGCTTCAAGTTGTTCGTCATTTTAATCTTGAAACCCAACTTCGGGTTGCTGGTGGGTGGGTTAGAGACAAGCTTCTAGGAAAAGAGTGTTATGATATTGATGTTGCTCTTGATAACATGTTGGGTAAAGAGTTCTGTGAAAAGGTGAATGATTACTTGATACATGCGGGAGAAGAAACACAAGGAGTTGGTGTTATCCAAAGCAATCCAGACCAATCCAAGCACTTGGAAACGGCAAGGATGTGCCTCTTTGATGTCTGGATTGATTTTGTGAACTTGAGATCTGAAGATTACACTGAAAACAGCAGAATTCCAACCATGGAATTCGGTTCTGCAGAACAGGATGCATATAGAAGGGATTTGACCATTAATAGCTTGTTCTATAACATTAATACATGCTCAGTTGAAGATTTCACAGGGAGAGGACTTGATGATCTAAAATCTGGAAAAATCGTGACTCCTTTGCCTCCAAAAGAAACGTTTTTGGATGATCCTTTGAGAGTTCTTAGAGCAATTCGTTTTTGTGCCAGGTTTGAATTCGAGATGGTTGAAGAACTAAAAGTTGCAGCTGCTGACAATGATGTGAAATGTGCGATTGCTGATAAAATCAGCCGAGAACGTATTGGTCATGAAATAGATCTTATGGTATCTGGGAACCAACCAGTTAAAGCAATAGCCTGCATATCCAACTTGGGGTTATTCTGGATTGTCTTTACACTGCCTCCAAATTTTGAACCTCCAATCTCAGAAGAACTTGATAGAATTTGTGTTAGTTATATGGATGAAGCATGGACACTTATGCATGGTATAGGAAGTTGTACCTTCAGCGATGAACAAAGGAGATTGTATCTGTATGCAGCATTGTTCCTTCCACTTAGAAAAACCATCTATGGAGATAACAAAAAGAGAATCGTATCAGCCGTGAACTACATTTACAGAAACTCCCTTAAGCTCAAAGGTAGTGATGCTGATAACGTCATCAGGTTGCATAATGCAGTTGAGAAATTCTCATCTTTGATTCCTTTGGTGGTGTCTAATGAAGGTATGCAACCTGCAGAAGTTGATTGGAAATCAGATATGATCGATGTTCCTGTTTCTTTGAAATTAAGAATCTTGTTAGGGTTGCTTCTTAGGGATATTAAAGATTTTTGGCGGGCTGCACTGATGCTATCTATTCTTTTAAACAAAGGGTCTTCTGTTGAACGTGTTGTAGATAATGTACGACTGTTTAAAAAGGTCGAGGAAGAAATCTTGAAACTAAGTTTAGAGAAAGTGTGGGAGGTCAAACCATTGATTAATGGCAGGGACATAATGAAGGTTTTAGAGGTTAAAAATGGAGGTCCAGTTGTTAGTGAATGGCAGCAAAAAGTTGTAGAATGGCAGCTTGCTTATCCTTCTGGTAATATGCAGGAATGTATTGATTGGATGATGAGGCAAAAACAGTTGAACCATCCTACAACGTGACAACACCAAGTAGCTGTTTCTGCTGGTTAGTTGTTTCATACAGCTACAGGCTTCTTAGAAAGTAGAAAGGCTCCAAAATGAAGAGAAATTTTGCTGTCAAATGTATCACGTCACCCTTCTGACACCAAAGGAAACAGGAGAATGTGAACATGCATCTGAAGCTTATGATGATAGATTTGTTAGTAGTACTTTCTTTAGAATACAGGCATTTGGTGGCAGAATTTTCGCAAAATGAATGCATGATTATGTATTATGCGTTGATGTTTGGAGTAATATATTCAAATGACAGGTTAGTCGGACGATTTTTGTAACTCGCTCAAGAGATTGATTGTGAGGCTGGGTTTAGATGATGGCTGTGGTTGGTAACAGTGGAGGTGGCGGAGCGATGGATAGGAAGATGACCTCAATAAGATTCACGATATTCTTTAACTTGATCTATTTAATAGCTACAAATGCGGATTAATAGGTTGAGCACCAAAACCCGACTACGGGGTTAACCATGGGTGTCCGCCTCCGCCTGCTCAAGCCTGATTGCGCGCGCATCTCGACTAGTTCCGTGGAAAGCGTTTTCCATCAAGGGTTTTGGATGACATTATAATCATTTATAGATTAAGTAGAAGTTAATAAATTACATTCACAACACACTAACAAGCAACTTATCTTTTTTTTTTTTTTAATGAATGCATTTTCATTTTATGAACTTCACCAAAAATTCGGCCACCACAAGAAAGTGTAAGGTAAAACCAGAGATGGACACTCGATACCACTTTGACTAAAATGCAGTTTAAAAACACCAACTAGAGCATTGGCTGGGTAAGATTTCACAGTTCAGAGACTATCACAATAGCATAGTATAATTGTATATTACCCGGTAAGTGTTAACCACGTAAAACTCATCACCTTCACTTGATTGTCGGTTAGCAAAATAGCATAATATGGTTGTCAGTATATCTCTATCTTCTATTGCATAAATTGTCCCATACGTGATAAGAGGCAATAAGTGTTTAGTTGCCCAATATAGACAACTAGTGTTTAATGTACAGCGCCTTGGCGTTTGCCATCGTTATTGGGTTCGTTTTATTTGCAAGACCAGTAGGCTAAGAACGAAAGAACCAGCCCTACATTAATAGTAACTCTCAAGTGGGTCAGTTTATTATAAATGGCGGATGATCATGAGAGAAGGAGAGTTGAGAAGCGTAAGAAGAAATTTGGACCGTTGACCACCTTTAATCTCAAACCTACTCATGAATTGCGCTTGATACGGGGATGGATCTAGTGTATCTCGGTACATCTCATCCTAATGTACATCCAAGGGTGAAAATTATTTCTTACGTTTCTCAGCTGAACTCTCCTTCTCACGGAAATCCAACCCTATTATAAATAAATAAACAAATAACAAAAAGATCAAGATACATTACCAAACAAGTTAAAATATTGCCACTAAACCCAAAACGACAGAACGAAAAAAATTACATCAGTAACTGCTTTTGGAGGTCATTAGCCAGGTTAGGAGTAGAACCCAAGAAACTAGGTCCAAATAAGACTGGCTAAGTGGTTCTCTCAAGAACCAGACATGGCAAGACTACTGATGGTATCAAAACAACAAACCATGTCCATTCTAGAAAAGAATTGTCGTTTCAATTTCCTAATAAGCAACCGTTTAATATTACATTCACAATATTTCTGGATACTTTGTTAATAGAAGTAAAAAAGTAGTAGCAATGAGCACAAAGATGATGAAAAGCGCAGGATATGAATCTGCCGTAACTAGGCGCCTTCTGCAAGGGTTCTCTTGGATGTACTGATGTAAAGAACTGCAAAAACAAAACAAAACAAAAATCAAGGTTACTGACGATCGCATGGTGAAGTAGAAATCAAAATCAGTTCCGACAACTTACCATTGTTTCCTCGAATAAATGCATCACCATATTTGTTTTTCAGCTGTCCGTTAACATATTCTTCAGTTTGTTCCATTGCTATGTTCATGTATCCATCCAAGCAAGCCAAAATACCTGCACACTGAATGCTTCCTTAACTTGCTCCATAAATGCAACCATACAGAATGTTTCATTTGAGCTAATTCACATCTAGATTGACAGGTTAGCTTATTTTTAATCTTGAACCTGCAAACCAAGTTACACCACCTCCATCTTTTTCATACTTCTAAACTACAGACAACGTCCTCAGCAGCATGTATATTAAGCTCATAATGGTTATTAACAACTTAAAGATAGAGTACTAAAGAGCAGATAATTAAATGGCCGCCTAGATAGAGGGGGTATGCCTAGACAATTGAGAAGTGAGGAGGATGTGAGACGAATAGCCAAGGCTGGGACATGATGGCCTTAGACCTTTCATGGACATGACCCCTAATAGAAATTCTTGGAGACACAAGACCAGGGTGGTGGATTATTAGACACTACCTCCAAGTGGGAACTACTGTGTATATTTGGTTAGACACTTAAGCAGCCCTAAGTGGGGATATTTAGAATACTGAAGAATACTAATTATAAAGATAGATGCGCATCCTAACAAGCAAAAATACTTATCCTAAAGATGATAAGAATAAATGATGAAAGCTAAAATGCTAACATTCATTCTAACAATTATAACAGAGATATCATCGATTATCCTAATATACATCCTTGCATAACTGTCTCATGCTTAAGTGCTATGGCCCTAATCATTGTCCCATGGCTAAGCCTTTTTCAACTGTCTACAAACATTTTTTGGTGCACCTTATTAGTGTTATTCAATTACGATTGATCCAAGGGTGGAGATTTCTTCTTATGCTTCTCACCATTACTTACCTTCTCATAGGAACTCAACCCTAATATAGTAAACATATGACCAACACAAATATCACCATCAGAATTAACATTAGCATGTAGGACACTGCATGGTTTCTCCTGTATGAAGGAACTAGAGCAAGTGTTATGGCAATACTTATTGGTACATTCATGGTTTTAAAAATCGTTTGAGGCATATGTCTCCAGGCGAGGCAGCCTACAACCACACCTTAGGCGGCGCCTCTTGGACCCTGGGCAAGGCTTCCGCCTTGGTTCATTGAGGCGGTTCGGTGAGACGTGAGGCTGTGTCAAGGAGTACACCTCAGATGATCTACTTTGGTTGCCAATAGTAGTACTTCTCTTTATAGTATAAATGTCTTTTTTATTTTAAAAAACTAAAAGTCAAAGCCCAATGGCCCCAACGTTGCTTTTGATATTTTAATACCCAAAAAGCTAGTACTTTCTCCTCTTAACCAAAATGTGTGGTTTGACCCTTCCTCTTCCTACAAGCACCCAGTTTTTCCACATCCTCTAGCCTATCTCACGCTTTCACTCTTTCCCTATGCTGTTAATATCGCGATATATCGTCAATATATCGGATATCGGACCTAGGCAAAATATCGCTGCATAAATATCGGTCAAAATATCGTCCCCGATATTATCGGTGATATTTTCCGATTTTTCCCGATATTTAGCGATATTTTGATGTATATATCGGACTGATATATATTTTAGGGTTCAATTATTTGGGCTTTTGTTATTTCATGGGCTTAGTTTTTTGGGCTTGGTAACATATATTATTAGGTCTGAAATTAATAGTGTGCCTTCCAACGGTCTTCTTCCTTTCTTTTCATCTTTACGACTTCACACTTCACAGACACCTAGTTCACTTCACGAATCATGACTTCAGACTTACAACTTCAGACTTCTCACGAATCAAGTGAATGTATTGGATGATGTTGACTCGGATGCCGAACCTATTGCTTGCGATTAGCTCGTTTTTGAACAYTTTAGATGATGTGATGTTTTAATTTTGAAACTATATTTCTAAACTCTAATTAATGCATATTATATATATAATTCTAAGAAATATTATGTTAACCGCTATTTTGGACCGCTATATCACCGATATAACCGATATTTTGTATTCTGACCGATATAACAACATATTTCCTCCATCAAGAACCACTGAATCAACGCCCTTAGCTATTTATGATATATATATATATATATATATATATGTGTGTGTGTGTGTGTGTGTATAGATGCATATATATTTCTGTATACATACTTTAGTCTATATATATTTCCACCTTGAAGGTTACGCATCAGACCGCCTTGAGGGCTTCCACCTCGCCTCATTGAGGGAAAACGCCTGGAGGACCAATTCCGCCTTTTAAAACCTCCTTTTAAAACCTTGGATACATTACATATTTCTTATATACAGAAATTCAAGCAAGTGTGATGGTAATATCGATTGAGCTACAGCATTGCCCCAAGAGGATAAATATAATATCATCAAATTTATGGATTAATGTGAAATATTGAATTGGACTCTTTTTTGAGGAAAATTACAGTGGAATTCAACTAAAATAGCCTTTGTAAACAAGTGTTACGCATAAACCATTCAAGCCCATAGTGAAAATCAAAAGGATTCAAAAACAAAAACAAAAACAAGATCAAGTACCAATTCCGTATACAGAATATCATGTGCCATTCTTTCCATTTTAGGGTTCACTATCACGATTGGGAAAACACAATCAGGCGTCGAACATACACATTAATACGAAAAGACGCAATTACACGACGAGTGATAGAAGACGAACCTCGATAATCGACACCGGAATTCAATTTGACAACAACAGGTCTACCACGAATAGATTTGAGAAAATCGGCTGGTGTTTTGGTTGTTGATGACCCTTTCTCTCCTGTTATGGCTCCTGCTCCTGCTCCACTCATGATTGTAGTTATGATGCGACTCAAAAATCAATGGAGTTGTAGCAGAGGAGAAATTTTGAAAACGCGAGTGATGGCCGAAGACTGAGCAAGCTTTTAGGGTTTTGAAGAGAAAGGAAGAGAGAGGGAGAGGAAAGCGTTGTGATTTATGACGTCATACGAGGAATTAATGAAGTTTAAACATACACCTCAAAATTGGAAATTGGAACAAATGTTGTAATATAATATAGGAAAAAGTAAATAAAAAATATTAAGTCTCTAAACTATTTTTTTTAATAAAAAATTATTACATTTTTTTATTTTAAATGATTAAATTTTTAAACTATTTTTTATATAAAAAATCATTAATTTTTTTATTTTGAACGAAAAACTCATTAAACTTTCTTATTTTGAATGATTTAAGTCCGTAAAAAAAATTTCTCAATAAATTAAAGCATTAAACTTTTAAAATATTGGTTAGTTATATTATTTTATCTTACAAGAAGCTACCTTTAATCGGTTATCTTTTGATTCTGTTTTCTTTTGTGGATAAAAATATACCAAAAAAAGGGAGATTGATGACCGGGCCAACAACATCTTAAGAGATATGGAGAACAAACAACGTTGGGGCAACAGAGAGTGACGAGGGGGAGCAATACCGTTGTTCGTGAGGGGTTTTAACGAAGTAAAGTTTGGAAAGGGTAACAATGGTTTAGGTTTGTTTTACATTTTAAACCTTTCCTAGCCAATTAAAGGTAGCTTTTAAATAAAAAAAATGTAGGTAATAGATTTTTAGAAGTTCGATGGTCTATTTAATCAAATCAAATATTTAGAGACTTATTTATTCAATATTTAAAAAGTTTAATGATTTTTTTCATTAAAAAAAAATAGTTCAGGAACTTGACCATTAAAAATAAAAAAATTTAATGGTTTTTTCATTCAAAAAAAATAGTTCAAGTACTTAATTATTAAAAATGAGATAGTTCGTTAGATTTTCTGAACTTTTTCCTATACTAAAATATATTCTTTTAATTTTTAAAAGAAAATGAAACAAAAATAAAAAGACGAAAATACCCATAAACTAACAGACCTAGCTAACAAAAGTTAGTCTGAAGGATCAAAACTGAAAGAAAATGACAACAATAACAATCAAATCTATAATTAATTTAAGAAAAAGGCGAAAGTTGACAACGAATGACAATCAGAGGTCAAAATGTAATTTCCTCTGGAAAATATCATGTATTATAAAAAATTGTTTGATGAAACACAATATTAAAATCAATCGTTTTTTTAAATATTTTGGTCTATGAATTAAAAATATAAAAATGAGAAAATATCTTGTTTGACTGTGATTAACATTTTCATGGGTGCACAAAAATGGGATCAACAACTACAAGTATACAATTCGATCTTAAATAGCGTGAACGAAACGTAATTTAGTTGTAAAATCCTTAAATCATAGGGATCGAGTTAGAATTGAATTAAAATCGTTTAAATCCAACCCAAGTCGATGAACCCAAAATCCTATATAACTTCTTCTATTTCTTAGATTTAATATGTACATTAGATAATTACACCATCACCTCTTTTTATATACATATACTTTAAATCTCTTCTTCATCTTTATATAACTCATTCGTATCAGTAAATGTGATTACATACATGCAAAGTAAGAAAAATATTTAAATGTGATCAACTTAAGAAGTAGTGTAGATAAGTTGTAACAAATGATTAATGATGAATAAGTTGTAGTTAAATGATTGATTATTTTTTTAAATAATTTATATTACTTTGTCTTCATAATTTATTTATAAAAAATGAAATTCGATTCGATTTCAATTATTAGAAGTCTAACACACCAAAAATTCCAAATCCTTACCAATTTCAATTCCTTCCAAGAAATCGAAATCTCTTAAAAACATTCTTTTAAACCAAGCAATCGGGCTTTTCGAGGATCTGGAATGAAATTAAATCTGCTTTGAGTAGGTGTTTTAATTTCATATTTTACTTTGGTAAAAAGGCATCCTAAATCCTTGATTTAGTTTAAACATTCTCGGCGATCGGCCCTAACAACTGGCGCAAATTCCTCTATTTGGATATTGGATACAAGTAGGGTTAACCGGGAAATCCCCGAATTTATAAACCGGACCCAGAGTCTTTATCATACATTTGTAGATCCAAATCGAATCAAATGCAAATCGTCGAACCTATAGCATTGGGTGTTCAAAGATTTCAAAACCCTTCTATTCCTATCAATCAACCACAAGAAAGCAATTCTACGCTGAAACTGCATAATAGCACCAAGAATCCCATTTAAATAAAACCAAAAGTAATAAACCATAATCCAAATTGACCCAAAAGATTGCAAAGCTTACAAATTGCATCTTCTCTTCTTGCAAGCTTTGGTAACTTATTCCCCCATTTTGGTGAAATGCAAACCTGTAGGAACTTATTCCCCCATTTAGGGAACAGCCAAAAGTACCGGCAAAGGATGTTTCTATGTAAAAAAACTAACACACGTTTTTTCTTTTGGAGTAATGATGCAAATTTGTATCTGTATCTTAAGCAAGCTTCTTGGCCCGACCACTAGAAGGCGCAGCGTCCTCTTTCTTTGAACCCGAGTCCTCGGGCTTCTTTGCCCAAGCAGGAGCCTGGTCAGGTTCATAACGGTAATCGTAGAACAGTTCTTCGCCAGCTGAGATTCTTTCTTTAGCAAATATACCAACCCTGTGATCTCCGGCCACCATAAGAACCTGAAAAATAATTGTTAGAATAATACATTTGGTGAATGTGGCAACTTGTTATGTTGGCGTGAAAAACTTGTTGTCCCACATTTGGCGGACATGAGACTGGGATGGGATAGGACAAGACTAAAGTGAGGCGAAAAGATATGCATTTTTGTACCACCAAAATATGGAATAAAAATCTGGGAGATAGGGACAAAATTGGTAACTTACTAAACTATGTCAAATTATAACCCTAAAACATTTCACAATTCTCTCATCCGCCTACCAGATTCTCATCCGTCTATTCTTGTTTGTTGTCAAGGTCCCTAAGCTGCAACTATTATGCATACCTTTGCATAACAATTTGGAACCGGAGAATGATTGGCGAACTTCAGTTTGTCACCCTTGCGGCAAGCATCAAGAACATACTACATAACGAAAACGGGAGTATCAATATATCAGTTCCTTAGAAAAGGGAGGGAAAATGAATATCTCCAGAGGCTATAAGACAATGTATCGTACTTGGTCATTAAGGTTGAAGAGAAATGAAGAATTTTCACGATCGTAGATTTTTCCCCGCTTGTCAGCTTCGTAATGTGAGATCAATTCTCCGGTGTATTCGCCCAGATATTCATGTTTAGGTACAGTATTCTGAACAAGAACTAAAGTTGAGTTTTCGGGGGAAAAGAATAGCAAAGCATAATACAGCAGTTCCACGTACCTTTAAGAAAGCTCCCCAACCTGAGATGTCAGATCTTCCTAGCAAAACCTGTGCATCAAATGATTACAAGCACCATCAATACAAATCGACCTTAGTGTAGAAATCAAGAGCATATCATCATTTTATGCTATGTTTAGCAAACTAGCTGATAAGTTAGTTGTTGGTTGAGTCAGTTGTTTGCTAGTAAGCTAGCTGTTAGTTGAGCCAGTTGTTGGTTGATAAGCTAGCTGTTAGTTGAGCCGGTTGTTGGTTGATAAGCTAGTTGTTAGTTGATCCGGTTGTTTTTGCTGATAAGAGCTAATGAAATATCATTTTTGGTAAAAACTAGCTAATAAGCTAAATAACAATGTAAAATAACCTAAAAGAACACGTTAAAAATTAATTGGAAAAATATAAGGGGAATAATCGGGAAAAAGACCTATGGAGCTTGTTGAAACACTACTTGAAGTAGCTTTTCATAAAGCTAACTTATGACTAACCAAAGAGAACTTTTTCAATGAGTTCAAAAAATAAGTTGGCTTATGGTTGCAAACATGAACTTAGTGGAGCAATTTTTATAGCTTTGACAGGTCCCACCCACTGACCTAGCATTGTTGGCCAGGTTTTGAACCATCTTATGCAGCATCAGTCAATGTTCAATTTAGCTTTACAGAGTGCATACATAAAAAGAAATATAAATAGTCACCCTTTGTTGTTGCTTGAGGAGAAGCTTCATATTCTTGCATTCATAGTTATCGCCTTTTCGGCCAGGGGTGCCAAGAGAACCATCACCGCAGCTGCAAAGTTGATTAAAAAACTTCATCAAACATGGAAGATAAAAAGGAGATATTAGAGAGACGTGTAGACGGCTAAACACAACAACCAATGTAACTTTGTGGAACTAAGAATTCTCACGAAATGTTAAAGTAAGCTAGATAGCACATGTGAACGCATCAACACCGACTCCAAGAAAAGTAAAATAAACACAAATACCACAGGTAACAAATTGGCTTATCTCAATCCATGTCAAATCTTAAGCCAGGAAACTAGCTTTTCGCAAAATACACCAAGGCAATTATGCATTTTTTTAAAATTCAGTCAGTCTATAGACAGTAACATAGTATATTATTCATTTTCATTATTTGTATTTGTATTTGTATTTGTGCTCTAACTAATAAAAAAATTGACCCATCTTATTTTCATAAAAGAGCATAAAGTAGTTACAAATACTTTTGCATATTCACTTGCCATAATTTTCAAATCTGTATTACATGTATGCTCAACTTTATCTATATAAATTTAGCAAACCAACTATCTCACCTGATCCAGCAATGCCGGCATACATCTGGGTCACATTCTCTATTAGCAGCATAGCATGGGCACTGACGACTTCCACACTGGCTTTTAGCGCAATGGCATCCCCTAAAACGATTTTTGCAAGTTTTTGGGCATCTAATGAACAAAAAAGTGAATATTGTTAAAGAAGACGAGAAAAGGGAATGGATGCGACAGAACATGTATATTAAGATTCTACCTCTCAGAGAGAACTGTTGAACTAGAAACAGAAAGAAGTGCACGGGTGGGTGGGGGAGTGGTAACATGGCTAAAGGTCTGTTAGCAGCTTAATGAGCTTAATGAGACTCGCAGCTTATTCGGTCAGTCATACATGACTGTTTGGTAGTGGCTTAATGATATAGAAAGTGGCTTATTCAGTAAGCTTCTAGCGGGGAGATGCAGAAAGTCAAGTTTTTTTCTAAATCTGCCCCTCTTAATTAAGAAACACCTCCTTTCATAGATGAAAAAATCTTGCCAAACAAAAATCTACCAATCTTATACGGACAGATTAATCCACACAGACAACTTTATCCATACAGAAAATGGAAAACCAACCAAACAACCTCCAAGTGGATTTAGAGTAGAAAATTAAGCAAAACCTTTATATGATGACAATAGAGCCTTACCCGCAATATTTTTCACAAGTAGTCCCATTTTTTAAGCAAGAACAATCGTCTCCACAGGCAGATTGGCACCCACAAGGTTTGTACTGACGACAAGGCATATCTTTTTTATCAGAAATCCTTTTCCTCATTGAATGGTACGCTGCAGACTTGGACGTATACTTTAAACGGCGAACTCTATTTCTTCTACGTAAGAATCTTGATCTTCTTCTTTGTGCCAAACCCTAGTGAGTAATTAACCAAAAATTCAAGAAAATATTCTGATTGTCAACACAAGTGCTCTCACTGCAACAAGTAGAGGATGACACCATACTAACCATATTCTCATTACTATCAACCCTGCAGCCATCACCTAGAGAATTTGTGCTGTCGCTTCCTTTAGATGATGGCTTATTCTCATAACACTTCAGGACATGAAACACCTCCGAACATGTCTTCAGACCACCGAGAAGATTCCTAGCTATTAAACAGCTGCAACAATGATAAAAAAAAATGCATTACAGGAGTGAATAATAAAATATGACAAGCTCCATTTTCAAAGATCCCAAGGAAAAAAAACTAGATATATGTAACCCAGAACCCTCATGGACCAAATCATCAAAGTGATGCACTAACCTGTTCCTGCCAAACATCTCCAGACCTTTTTCAAAAAGAGCCTTTTCCAAAGTTCGCCAACTTTTAAAATCTGTTACTTCTTTTCTACAAGTACTCACATCTTCTTTCTTCACCAGAGGATAGGGAACTTGAACCTGAAGAGATTTATGGTCATCAGGAACCAAGGAGTCTTTCCTCCTGGACCTTCTCATACTTGAGGATTTTGCCTTTGGTGACCAGGAGCTAGCTTCTTTGCTCTCTTTAAGTGAATTAGATAAAAACTCCCTATCTCTTGAACCAGGACTTCCGCTCGCTACAGAATCAGAATCAGAAGCCACATTCCTCTGTGTTCTCTTCATGGCTGTGACGACATGATTGGCAACATGTTTGCTATTTCTTTGATGAGTTCCAGATTTTCCGCCACGTTTGTTCTTATGTGGCAATGGAGAATGATAAGGAATCACGTCATGAACTGGCCTAGTCTCAGAGTCGCTGCTTTCTGTTACGTTTTGAGTATTTGATGCAATACTTCCATTCTTGCAAGGCTTTGACCTCCTCCTTAGAGATGGGCCGTTAGATTTTCCCCTAGATACCAGAACACCACTAGCATCTGATGAAAGGGCGGGGGTTCGTTCTGTATTGAGCTGCATAGAAGGTGTCGCTTCCAACTTTTGGACCTAAAAACAGATTAGGTAGAAGACTCTAGATTAGCAATAAACATTTCAGGTGATACAAACACCTATACACAGAAAAGCTCGAGCACCATATGAAACAGAAAATAATCGTGGCCATGGCATTCATCCTAGTTCCTAGGTCATGTCCACAATGGAAAGCTAACATATACCTGGAGATAACAATGTGGGCCACAGGGGACACTTTCTTCATCCGGGCCATCCCAAGTAAGCTTTTCAGCCTAATTAGAAAATTTGAAGTTAACATGATTAGCCATAGGAATCACGTAATAAGCAAAGCTCAACTTACAGGAAATATAAGGTCTTGTGAGCAGCCATGTAATTTACAGTCAAATATCTGCCACAATAAAAACAGAAGATTGAGCGGTTGCAAAAAATACAGAACCAAAACCAAAAACATAACACATATCACAATAACGCTTACAAGGCATCTGCGACAGAATAGGTTGTCAAATGAATCTTGAGCTGCTTCAAGATCTTTATCAAGAAATGAATTGAAGTCAAAGCTTTCTATGACATTCTGTCTGCTAGAAAGAGCTTCATGTCTCGCCTGTATAAAATGTTGATGATATTTCATCTCTCCGTAAGCAAGCGCAAGAAAAGGGGAAACAGCTGGACTTTGCACTATGACCAGTCTTTACAACATTCAAAACTCAAATGGAAACAAAACCCAGATAGAAGAAAAGAGCAAAGACAATATATAGAGAGCAAAAATCATGAACAAGAATGGCCTATCCAGTTAGAGCTTACCTTGACTTCACAAGGCTTTCTAGACAAGCGCTGGGCCAGTAAATCAAAGACAGTATCGGATGCTCCAACTTCTTCAATGGTCATTCTGGAAACATTACAGCACCACAAGAACACGCAGTAACATTATTTAGTGTAGGACTGAAAACTTTTACCACGGATGCAGCAACAACCAACGAAAATGATATCCAAGATGAACTCATTAACAAGTAAAAATCATTCAAAAATGCTGCTGACTTGTGACACAGTTGAACACAGACCAAAACATACAACAAAGACAAAGTTTACTGGGTAACCAACAAAATAAAGGGATGAAAACAACAACAACAAATGTGAAAACATAGAAACATAAACGAGAAAAGAGAGAATAGAGAATCTGTTGATAAGTTTATCTTGCTTCAGTATAGATGATCTTGATGGAAATTACAGGAGAGAAGTGTAATATAGCCACTAGCCAGTCCTCTTAATAGGGACAACAGCGAAGTTTTGAGAAGGTTTTCACTCTTCTCTTAAAATGAAGGAATAAGATCGAGCATCACACACACAGCAGCACTTAAACGGTCTTCAAGGGAAAGAATGCAGAAGTAAAACATTACTTCGATTAGATAATACGACTAGTGCAAACGATAGCAAAAGACTATCAAGGACAAGAAACAGAAACAAAAAGTGACATAGAAGATAACAAAAAGAAACCACAAGTGCAACTAAGCAACATCCCCTGCAAGAAAAAGAAAAAAAAAATACCCTCCTTTGCTAATTCTTTGTCCACCAAAAGAATTATAAGAAACACTGTTTTCGGACTCCAAAATGAAATATTAAATCATATAAAGCCGACATACAAATATAAGACACAGAGATCGCACTTGAAGCAAAAAACAGAACGCTACAAGAAACAAATAGGAATATGTATTGAGTGAACACAAAAGCATATATATAGTCATATAGATTGAAGTATACAAACCTGATGATGTTATCTTCAGAGTCAACAAACTCTTTCTTGTCTTCTTCATCATTAATTATCTCCTCTTCACTGTCACTGCAGATTAGAGCTTCCCCGCCATTCCGGTCATAATAAATCCTTCTTCGACCTACTACAGATTGATCTTCCGTCATTCTTTGATTTCTGCATTTGCATTCAATACATAAATATAATAAGTGGTAGTTCTTAAAAGAAATCCCTTAATCCAGCATGCAGAAGAAATTAAACAAGATGAGCATCAACGGGTATGATAAGAGGATTGTGACATAGAAGAAGTCTATACTTTGACAGACAAAAGAATCTGCAAATCAGATTCCACACCATGTGAAAGTGATTGAAGGTATATAAAAATTCAGGAATGACTACAGGTGAAGATGAAGGTTGATGAAAGTCAATGTTTTTGTCAGCCATCAACTGTAGGTAGTTGAAGGTCTGCATTTTCTTAGCCTTTAGATCAAAAAATCAACTCATCCAAAGGCTTAAAGGTATTCTCACCTTCTCATGAAAAGGGGTTGTTCTCACTTGATCCCAACTCTCTCTGCCTCTCTCTCTCTCTCCCTATATATATATATACACATACATGCATGGGTAAAATAAATAATGCAGGAAAATAACTTGTTGGGAAAAAATACCATCCAACCAAGTTCAAATTTCAAAAAGAAAAGAGACATGAAATATGATCACGATAGAAATTGACTAGTAAGGGCAACTTCACCTATCCATGAAAATCCATGTAGTATAAGGAGGTAGTTTCTCAACTTTTGGAAGATGGATGGGCCGAACAGAATTCTTGACAGCAATGCCAGATCCTAGGAGAATTACTGAAGCATATTCATCTTCTTGAGAGTTGCTGCTGCTACCGAAGCTTATGTCAACCCGACTTTGCATATCAATTGCTTCCTTCTGCCTCCTTGTCAATAAGTTGTCCACCTTATCTCCATTAATAATCCCAAGGTTTCTTCTTTCTGTGGACAACTTGTGGTGGGTCCTAGTGATTTCAGCCAATTTATTCCGGTTCTCTTCCATTCTTTTCTGCAAGAGTTACACAATATACAGGCAGCAGTGCTTTCATCGGATAAAGTTCTTCAGAAACTAGAAAGGCACATGTAACAATATAGGACTGTACCATGATATAAGCACAACGATCAGCATCAACTTTCAGCTTCAATGAGTCAATAACCAGTGAAATTTCAGGAGTTGTAGCTGATTCTTGCAGTGCTGTATTCTGTTCAATATGCATGCTATTCACATTACAGTATACAATTCATAGAGTAAAAAAGTAAAAGACATGCATGATGTACTGTTATTTGCTTGGCTAATTGAATAGATTGTGAAGGGAATATAAGCATGACCGTTACAGAATATTATTGCGATATTATTGAACTGACTCTAAAACAACAAAGCTCTTTTTTGTGATCCTTTGACAATTAAGGGACGCCCTATTTAATCGTATTATCTTATTAGTTAATTTGAAGTATATCTTCGTTGTTGGATATGTGTGTGTCTACGCATATTTTAAGTACAATTACAACTGTATTGAAAATCTGAAATGAATCTTCTGATTCAATATGATTCATGATTCACTAGAAGGAGATATCAGTACACAATATATAGAATCATGATTTTAGAACCCTTTTGTTCTTTCTTTTATTTGTTGAAGGTACATTGGTTAATAAGAGAGAAGGAAATCAGTGACTTAATCAAACTCAGTTACCTTATTTGGTTCTTGGTAATATATATATTTATCTTACATTGTTTATGTTTAGTTATGCATATTATAGCAATCAACACCTACTTTTGTATGGAAATAAGAACAAAACCAATGTCCGTTAATAAACCCAATGTCCGTTATTAAGTGCCATATCATTATGTATTAAAATTTCCTAGCTCTTTTTGATCACCTAATTATATGTAAGTACATATGAAAGCATATTTAACATACTAAACTCCACATTTAGAGTAGTATATACCCACATGAGTTACCGAATAATACTATCCCCACAAGCCACTTACCAACACTCTCTGTACCATGCACCAAAACCCATACCAGAAATTAATAAGGTAATGTTTGATCTTCAGTATTGCCGTTTCCATGAGGCTCCTGTGCTCATGTTCGTATTTTTTCTTTTCTTATAGAGATCATGTAACCCTCGGATTAATAATTCTCCATGTTCTTAATGAGTGTGGGAATCAACAAATCTTCTTGCCTTTTACCGGTTTTTATCACTCATACATACAGGTATCATCAGTTCTGGAGTCTTCCAATCAGAAAACAGATGACCTCACACTTATATTGACATGAATTCCTACAAATCCAAATCTCATTATTCATATACAAATCCTGTCAGGCTGTCACAATGCTTCTAACTTCGAAATCCCAGATCGCTAGATTCTTCAGTGTGTTAGAACTGAATATGAAACTGATGGTGATGATTAAGTTTGACATGCTATATTACAATAACTAAAAACATGTTTTAAACTTATCTTTTTATTAACCTATAAGTTTGTTCTCTCCCAATTAATCACTTGACCAGAAATCTCGTATTTCTCCATTCCTTTTGTATTTTATTACTATATGACATCTTTTTTGCTCCATTGTAACATTGATCTTCTTGAAACATTGTGAAAAGTGGGAGCTTATACATCGTGTCAAGGCATGCCCAGGCAAGTGAATGACATCCAATGAAACAAGTACAAGTGATGCATGAGAATGATAGAAACACAAATATTCAAATATTGTGATTGGATTAGAGCAATTGCTAATTCCTTTGATATTATCCATATCATGTATTAGGATTTAGTAGGGTTTATAGTTATTAGTTAGGATAGGTATTAATCTTTATTCTTAGATTTAATATAGCTTGTACTTCTTGTTATACATGCAATGATTAATATTGAGCCTGAGAAATCCTAATAATTGTTTTCTCCTCTTATATATACTTTCTTCCTCGCCTTCCTTTGTTTCTTCACTTTTTCCAGCCTCTATCCTTGTCAATTACACCATTTGTTAGAGAATCTCCGATGCAAGGTTCTTATAAGCAAATGATGTAGTTTCTTATAGGAAATAATATTGTAGAGAGTTCTTAAAAGAACCTCACCCTCTTTGAGTTCTTATACATGCCTTAAAGTTGGTGCGAACCGACAATTTGCTAGTTTTTTATATATTTTCTTGACTTTTATATCCAATATAATTAATACATATATACTTACTTAACTTATACTATACATGAGACCCACAAAATGAGTTTTTATAAAAACTATTATTGTAAAGTTTTATATAGGTTATTAATTTGATGAGTTGGAAATGATTTGACAAGAAAAAGTGTAAAAAATGGGTTCTTATAAGAACCTTGTTTCATAGATACTCTTTGCTTTAACTTCAACCGGCCATGTCACCGAAAATTCCACTGCGTATCTATGATAACATCACCATGAAATTTACATGCAATTAGCCAATTAGCCTGCTTACCGTATGCATCAAATCTAGACCGTTCGAATACTACAGATCAAAATTGTTCTAAAATCCTAATGGAACAGTGTCTTAACGAGACCATTGTATTTATAAAACACAATGCGCCTACAGTTTTATTAGGAATCCTCCCAGACACAAACACATCATCGATCGCAGCACATTACGGATGAAAAGGATAGAAAACACCGATCGATGCATAAACAGCCAAAGAAAATAAAAAAGCATGCTATTTATTTTCGTTCATTTCAACTAAACAACTAGTCAATACGCGATACGAAATCTTAATAGATAAACAAAACTAAACACAAGTTAATTAACAACTCAATACATACCGTAGGAACATCAGGAGATTCCGATCTGCCGGCGTCGGTGGAGTGAGGATGGACCTTTGAGGACGACATTGCCATCGGCGATGATTGATAGACAGTGAGTAGCTCCAATCTGCAACGAATTGCAGGCTGGAGACGGAATTCATTCAAAAGCGAAGAGATTGATGCCTGGGGTTTGAAACCCTAGGTTGGGGAATTGGGGGCAGTGCTGCTGCTGTTCTGACAGAAGAGGATTTTATAGGAGCGCCAAGTGTAGTTGCGTGAGGATCAGGGTATGAGTCGGATTTTGGAAAGGCAAAAAGTGGCAGAAGAATGACACCTGGATTTGATTACGTGCTTTTATTGTACACTTGTTAAAATTGAAGGGCTAATTTTAGCAAACCTATTTTAAGTATATCTTATAATTTTATTCATCACTTTTTATAGCAAAAAATAGACAAGTTGATGATGGTCCTTTTTATGTTTTCATAGTCAACTTTTTATGACAAAATAATTAAAGTAAACTATAATCTCCGTCTCGTAGTTTGTAAACGATTGCCACTTTACGTGGTTTTGAAATTATAATTTTCGTTTTTATGGTTTGTAATTTATTGTTATTTTTATTTTTATAATTTATAATTTATTGTTGGTTTCATTCTTAAGACTAAATCTATTAAAAATCATTCATTTAATCTAGGGTATTTTAGTTTTTTTGATTCATTAAATATATTTTTTGGTTTCTTTTTTAGGGGTGTTTGAGATTGCTTATAAAAACAACTTATTGATTTATTCCGGTGTGGTACCGGTAATAAGCACTTTTGAGTGTTTGGATAAACAACTTTTACCGGTGCCAAACCGGTAATAAAAAGTTTTTGAAGAAATTAAACTCTTCTGACTTATAATAAGTTGATAAGTGCTTTTGTAGAAAAGCATAACTTGTTTCAGATAAGCAATCCCAAACACCCCCTTAGTATTTTAGTCTTTTTGATTTAATAAAACAATACATCTTTTGATAAAAGAATTAATACATAAAAAAAAACTACATTATTTTTGTATTGTTTATGATAAAATGATTAAATATTTTTCATAAAATTTAACCTTTCATATTTTTGGTCATGATTATATGACATCTTTTGGGATTTGTAATTTAAAAAACATGCGTTTATATGACATTTTTAAAAGAAAATTATTAAAATAAGATTTTTATATGGCATTTCTTAAAAATACATTTTTATATGACGTCCTTTTGGATTTGTATATAGTAAAAAAATGTCATATAAAAAAATTAATTGCACACTTTATTTTAAAAATGTTCTAAAAAAACGCCTAACAATATTTTATAAACTTATTGTAAATTATAATATATTTATATAAGACATATATTTGTTTGGTATAAGTGAATGATTTATGAGACCAAACAATTATACGTCCTATTAATAAAATTACATAGATTTATTCGATAAAAGTAGTTAATTGTTTGTACCTATGAAAAAAAGAATTAAAGTACTTTTATGTGTGAGATACTCAACGGCTTGGACTTGAATGATGTTAGTGACACAAATTGAACTCATAAGAAACTAAAATTATAATGAACCAAGAGTATAAAAAAACTAATTGTATTAAAAATATTTTATCATAAAAAAATATGTATTAATTTTTTTATTAAAAAATATATATATTTATTATATCAAAAAGACTAAAATAACAAAAATAAACCAAAAAATATTCTTAATAAATCAAAAAACTAAAATATCCCTAAGTTGGTTGATGGTTTTAAACATATTTAGTCTCAATGATGAAAACAATAATAAATTATAAATATAAAAACAATAAACCAATAATCTTTCTCAAAACACAGGGACCAAAATCATAGTTTACTCAAATAATATTAATTATTATTCTGTTGGTTTTTTGAATATTATTAAAGATTGGTTTAAATAAAATATATGTAGGTGGGCCCAAATGGTTACATAAACTATAAATATATAGATATAATATGTAAGGTTATTAAATATTATAAAAAAAATTTAATAAATAAAAAATAAGAGAGAATATACATAAAATCATATGATTTGATTCAAAAAATAGTATTACTCATTAGAAGATAATTATTATTTTCTATTAAATATGGATTTAGTGGATGGCAAGTAATTATATGCAGTTACTTTGATGTGACGTCACTATTGTTGGTAAGGTAATTTTTGAATACATTACTAAAGGGAAATGATATTTACTCCTACAAGCTAGGGAGAATATCTTATCAATTAATTAATTGCTTGATTTAAAATTAGGGGTGTATTTGGTATGTTAATTGGACTGAATAAAGGTGCGGACGTATTATGTTGAGTTAGGTGGGTAAAAGAATTGTAAAGTGTTTTAGGTTTTAATTTAATATAGAAAATTTAGTAATTTTACCAAGTTTGTCTCGACGTATGCCCCTCTTTTTTTTATTTTTGTTTCACCCAATTTTTGATCGGCTAAAAAATATGCATTATTGTCTCATTGATCAGTCATATTGAGTCTGAGTCTAATTGTCACATGAAACATGAGATAACAAGTTATAGTTTTTATTTTGTTATGTCTTGTATTATCCTGCATACGAAACACACTCATATATAAACGCTAATGGATAGTTTAACGGTATTTGTTATTAGTGTATCGAGTAAGATCAACATGTGCGGGTTTCTTTCAAATTAGTATGTTTTATGATGATGATGATCTGTTTGATTCTTTGTCCTATATAACACCTATCTTCATATCGTCATGCTAGAAAGATTGGTGCAAATTAACGTTTATTATCCCTAGAAAAGATAAGATTCATACGCAACAGTATTTATCCTTACATATTTGCCTTCCAACGAGAATGACACGTCATTTGTCAATTAGATGCCTTAAGAACAATCAATACCGGGAATTTAGAGAAGTCGGGTGGCTCCATAACATGCCAAGGAGGTAGCATTCGCCATTTATATCCGCTTGATTCTAATGGTTGATAAATTTTAAAATCTTCGTATTTGGTCTCTTGATCTACCTCAATCTTGGTAGCCACTTGTCTTAACCAAAACACACTCCTTATCAGTACTACAATGACTTACGTCTCAACCTTCAATTCGTCAAGGATGGAAATATATAACATCGTTTCAATGTACATCACATCAAATTTTATATATGGCCCATGCAACCCTAAGACTTTGAAAGCCAATTTTGGTGATTAACATTTAGATTTCATTAATACGTATATGATAAGAATATAAATTAAAAGCTTGTAGCATGTCTCACCTTCTTGGTTGTACTTAAATGACGACAATTCTTATATATAGCCTTTACCTAAACCACATTAAAACCTCGAACAATAATACAGTCAAAACATAAGACAAATATAACATCGATAATAATTAGTGGTGTGCTAGTTTCAAGTATGTTTTCTCTAACAAGGTAAGTGAAAGAAAATAACAAATCACGTAGTCATTCACTCGTCCAATACTCAAATTACTTAACGTTATTCAAGGTGTCATTTAGGAATGTTTGCAGCATTTAGATTCAAAAATATAAACCAAAATTGCATACACGGTTCGAGTTTTTTAAACCACAAACCAAACTGCATGTCTTAAACCGTAAAATTAACACATCACACCATAAACCAACTCCTAGTTCTTATATGCTTTGTTGACCTTATATTATGGTTAGACTATGTTTTCGAGGCTTGTGGTTGGTTTTATATTCATTAACACATATATGAAACTTTTTGTTAGATAAGTTTGGGATATAAAACCACATCTAAGAATACTACATGCAACCTTGAGGTTCGTATCAACTCACAAACACAAGGTAGCGTTAGGCTTCTTATAAGTTGTTAGTTCGAGTCTTCAAAACCATCAAGGAAATTTCTGGTTGTTTCAAAGAAAATGGTCTTTAATCTTCATTTATTACAAATTTATCCAACAAGATCCTCCGGATATCGTCCCTCTTACTGACGAGTGTTAAGATTTTCTCTTAAATCCAGTTAGAAAGCAGATCATTTTAGTTCCCTATATCTCTATTTTATATCAAAAAGTATATTATATTATTAATATAGAGTGAGTATCAAATGGGAACATGTCAAAATAAGAGAATAAAAAAGGTTAAATCATATGTGATTTTACATGCAATTATGGAATACGGTCAATAATGCAAATGTGAGTGGGCAACTGTGTTCTCTTATTTGGTTAATATTCTCGTATGAATGCGACTTATTTGGTTAATATTCTCGTATGAATGAGACTCTTATTATATATATATGTGTGTGTGTGTGTGTGTATGAAAGATCGTGTGAGAATATAAGTTAAGATGAGAAGTCTAAGAAGGGATCCAGGGTCTTAATCGCTTTTAATCTCATCCCAATCCCATGAATAGCGCTTGATAGTACTAGAACTGATCCGTGCAATTCATTAATATTGATCTTCAGTTAGGTTTAATTTAAGGGTGAAGATCTCTTCTTACTATAATTTTCATTCTCACATGACTCAACCCTCTATATATATACACACACACACACACTAAGATTCATTTATAAAAACGCAAGAACGCCTGTATCACATGTGATAATATTGCATGTGACTTAGCACACAGCCTAGATTGCGCCAAAAAAAGGTTGCCCACGTCTCAACGTCACATGTGATGGACAAAGTATGTTATCACGTTTTCGCTTTCAGAAAATGAAGGTGTTTCGATACCTCCATTTTCGGCCCCCCCATCTCTGGCCACTGCAGACCATCCGTCTCCAGAAGTCAGTTGCTTTCTAGGGTAGTTGTATAAAGCCATTATCCTCACTCAAGAACTGACAACGTGCAACTCAAGTAGTCATAACCTGCGACTCTCGTCCATCCAAATACACTCACTGGCAGATTTTGATGGGTATTATTAGGTTTAACCTACTCATGGCTTCAGATCCCAACTCTTTGAGGGGTATCAAATGAAACCCAATGAAACCTGAGTTTTTGGATGATTTCCAAACTCATGAATATCATCATCTTCATAAAAACAAATGCAACCGAGAAAAATTATGAAAATCCAAGAACACCCACAAATAAAAACACAGAAAAATCAAGATGCAGAATGTGAAACCCATCGATGGAGGTTCACATCTTCTTCTTCGCAACTGCTTTTGCTTCTGGTACAGACATGGGGAAGGATATTAAGAAAATGCTTAGAAGAAGAGGGAAGTAGGTGGGGAAGGCTGCCGGAGAAGAGGGGGACGGTGAGGTCACCTGAATTTTACAGGAAACAGGTTCACCGGCGGGGAAGAAATTCAAGAAAGGGGAGGAGGGTAGGTGTTGGCCAAAGTGTTAGACCAAAAAAAGCACCACCTTATCCTAAACAGCTGATTTTTCATCAACTCCATGATGAAAACTAAATGATGAAGCTTTCAACTTAGAAAACCAACAACATCAAACAATCTGAGATTGCAATTTCATGTGTCCTCCCATTAATAATAACCAATAATTAAAAGAAAATTGAGTTCCATAAGAGAGCATAATTGAAGTACAGTTACAAATCCTTTTGCATATGATCACTTGTCATAATTAAGAAACAAATCTGCATTACATATATGCTCAACTTTTATTGTGATAAATTCATTTCACCTGATCCAGAAGCAATTTCGGCAGCCATATCACCTAGACAATAATTTATGATGGCTTATAATCCTCGAGAACATGATGCACCTCCGCACATGTCTTCAGACCACCCAGAAGATTCCTAGCTATTAAGCAGCTGCAATAATATGATAAAAGAACATGTATTAATTACAATGACAAAAATACATCACTTAATCAAGTTCTGAAAACAAGCTCCATTTGAAAAATATCCCAATAACAAACAAACAAACAAGATATATGTAACATAGAAGCTTCATGGACCAAATTATCAGGCTTTATATATAGTACGTCTAAAATGTTTAAGCGTCCCAATAAAATACTTTATAGGACCAAACCAAAAAATGACATGTCTAAAAAGTATTACAATAGATTTATAAGACGTTTTTAGGTGTTTCAACAAACTTTTTAGAACGTTTTTAAAATATAATGTCGTATAATTAACTATTTTATAAGACATTATTTGAAAAAAAATGTTCTATAAAATTGTGAGTTTATAAGACACCTATCAAAATGGCTCAATAAAACATCTAATATGACATTTTATCTTCAATCATTCAAAAAAAACTTGTTAAAACGTTCAAAAATGTTTTATAAACTTATTGTAATACTTTTAAATAGAACGTTGTCTAATTTAATCTTATAAACTTAAGTTCTATAAAATATTATATTACAACGTTTTGTCAATAAATGTGATAAAAGTGATTACTAACCTGTTCCTGCCAAATATCTCCAACCCTTTTTTAAAAAGATCCTTCTCCAAAGTTCGCCAAGAATTAAAATCTGTCACCTTTTTTTCAGAGGTACCCTCATTTTCTTTCACCTGATCAGAAAGTTGATGCTTAAGAGATTATGACATTAATACCCGCAATTAAATAGAAATACTAGAGCACCATATAAAAATGAATTTTAAATGGAAATCAGAAAAGAATTATGGTAAAGTAAAAGTGAAACTTCCATCTCATTTCAACTGGAGTTTACGCATCTCCAACGCATTTACGTTAACTCGATTTTCGGATTAAAAAATTACATAAAGATTCAAGTTTTTGCCTAAAGGATCCTTAAACATATGCGTAACATTTTTTTTCCTTTTAAAAAATAAAGCATCTTGCATAAATACCGACTATTTCGAGAAGAAAAAAATGACTAGAAAATGAATTTGTTTGATGGGATGGGGAGAGTGCATGTATACCTGAAAATGAAAGTAACAATTTTCCCCACATGGGACAGTTTCTTCTTCAGTGGCGTCCCAAGTCCCCTTTTCAACCTAATTAGAAATTTTGAAGTTAACATGATTAACCGTAGGAATAAGGTAAATCCAGCAGAATAAGCAAAAGTCGACTTACTGGATATACAAGCTCCTGTCCATGGCCATGAAACTTACAATCAAATATCTGCCAAAATAAAAAAAAACAAAAGATTTTTCGGTTACAACAAATTAATACAACACCGAAAACCAAGAACAGGAAATCACTAATAACGCTTAATTACCAGGCATTGGCGACAAAACAGGTAGTCGAATGGAGCTTGAGCTTCTTCAAGACGTTTATCAAGAAGCGCGTTCATAGCGGAGTCAGTCTCTCCGGGTTTAGAGCTTTCTGTGGCATTCTTTCTACTAACAAGAGCTTCATATCTTGCCTGTATATATATATGATGTTTGATGATATTTCATGTCTCTTTATTAAACAAATGCAAGAAAAAGGGGAAACATCCTGAATGCACCATGACTACAACATTCACAACTCAAACAGAAACAGAAACACTACTAAATAAGAGGCTTTCATCGGCGGACAAAACAAAATCCAGTTAGAGCTAATTACCTTGACTTCACAAGGTTCTCTAGACAAGCGCTTAGCCAGTAAATCGAAGACAGTATCGGATGCTCCGACTTCTTCAACAGTCATTCTGGAAACATTACAACACCACAAGAACACATAGTAACATTATTTACTCTATTACCACAGATGTGCAGCAAACAACCAATGAAAATAATACCCAAGATGAAAGATCAAATCATATGAAACCGATCGTAGAAATATAGACAAAGAGATTGCACTTGAAGAAAAATTCAGAATGCTACAGGTAACAAATAGGAATATGTATATTGAGTGGAACACAGAAACATATAGTAATATAGATTGAAATATATATATATACAAACCTGATGATGTTATCTTCAGGTCCAGCAAACTCCCTCTCTTCTTCTTCTTCGTCACTGAAGCCATTGTGGTCATCATAAATCCTTCTTTGGTTTCTGCATTTGCATTCAATAATATAAGAAGGAAAGAAGTCATGTGAAGATTTAACATATAATACGTAGGTAAACACTAAACAAGAGAGGCAAATGGGTTTCCTGATTGAGCAATTAATAGAGTGAAATAACCATCTTCCGATTGTGTAAAATATGATCACCGCAACAGAAATAGACAAGTAGGGGCAACTACCTATCAATGAAAACAGATGTAACATGACGAGGTAGTTTCTCAACTTTTGGAAGAATGATTGGCCGAACAGAACTATTGAGTACAATGCCAGGTCCTAGGGGAATTACTGGATCATCTTCTTGAGAGCTGCTGCTGCCACCAAACCTTATTTCACCCCGCTTTTGCATATCAATTGCTTCCTGCTGCCTCCTTGACAATAAGTTGTCGAATTTATTTCCGTTCATATTCATTTGGTTTGTTCTTTCAATGGACAACTGGTGGCGATTCCTCGTGATTTCAGCTACTTTAATTCGATTCTCTTCCATCCTTTTCTGCAAGAGTTACACAATATACAGGCAGGACAAAGAGGTTATTAGTGATTTCATCAGATAAAGTTCTCCAGAAACTAGGAAGGCATGTTGGTGTAAGACTGTACCATTACATACTCACGACGATCAGCATCAGCTTGCAGTTTCAAAGACTCAATAACCATTGAAATTTCAGTAGCATCTGCTTCTTGCTGTGCTGCATTCTGTTCAATATGCATACTATTCACTTTAAAATATACAATTCATAAGAGTAAAAAGTAAAAGACATATATGATGTACCTTTGATTATTTGCTTAATTAGCTAATTGAATAGATTGTGAAGGGAATTTAAACATAGACCATTATAGAATATTATGTGATATTATTGAATTGGATGCAATATAACAAAGCTCCTTTTTGTAATCCATTGTCTATTAAGGGCTGCCCTATTTAATCCTATTATCTTATTAATTAGAGTAGATTAATCTTCGATCGTCGTTGGATGTATGTGTATCTACATGTATTTTAAGTGCAATTACAACTGCATTGAAAATCTGAAGTACATATGAACACATATTTAACATAATACATTCGACACTTAGAGTAGCATATTCACATGTGTAACTTAACGAATACGACCACCCCCAAACCTCCATACCACAAATAGGTCATATTGATCTTCGGTATGTCGTTTCCATGAGGCTCCTATGTTCCTATCTTATTCCATTTTTCTTATAGAGATCATGTAACCTTTGGATTAATAATCCTCCATGTTCTTAGTTAATGAGAGTGGGAATCAACAAGTATCATTTTACCGGTTTTTGTGCCATTTTTTTAAAGGCCGAACCAGATATAAACCAAACAAGAAAACCACAAGAGTTCAAACATCAACTTTCTACAAGACTCAGAAAAAAGCGTAACCTCACACTTACATTGACAAGAAATTCCAACAAATCCAAATCTTATTATTCATCTATAAATCTAAATCTTATTATTCATCTACAACTCGTATCACTTAATTACCCTTCTAGCTAAATTCGAAAATCCCAAATTCCATAAACTCTTCATTGTGTTAGAACTGAATACGAAACCGATGGTCATGATGATTAAGTATGAAATGCTATCTTCCAATAAATAAACACAATTGCTCCTAAACTAATCTTTCATTAACATGTTAAGTTTGTTCTCTCATAATTATTAATTAGCCACTTGACCAGAAATCTCGTGTTTCCAACCAAATGGCCTTTGGCCTAGCGGTTTCTAGGTCTTTGGCCTTCATTGGAGGTCCGGAGTTCAAACCGCACCGAAGGTGAGGAAGGTATGTGAGTTTATTTGTTACAATTGTCGTATAAATATATTATATACTTCAAAAAAAAAATCATTCGTCTTGTATTTTATTACCACATGACATCTTTTGCTCCATTGTAACATTTATCTTTATTTTCAGACATCGTCAGAAGTGGAAAAATGTCGCTGTGTATGTATGATCTATAGCATCACCATGAAATTTACATGCATCTAATTAGCCTTCTTACAGTATGCATCAAATCTAGACCGATCTATTACTAACAGATCAAAGTTGTTCTAAAATCTAATGGAACAGTATCTTAAAAACAAAATAGCCCTACAGTTTTACTAGAAATTCTCCGAGACACAAACTCATCATGGATGGCAGCATAATACAGATGAAACGGATAGAAATACACCGATCTATGCATAAACAGCCAAAAACAATAAAAAACATGCTATTTTCGTTCATTTCAGCTAACCAAATATGCGATCTGAGATTTTAATAGATAAACAAAACTAAACACAAGTTAATAATGTTTCAACAGTACCACAGGAACATCTGGAGACTCCGATCTGCCGGCAGCGGCGGTGGAGAGAGGATTGACCTTTGGTGGTGAAGAATTTGTCATGGCTGATGATTGATAGACGGTGAGTAGCTGCAACGAGTTGCAGGCAGGAGACCAAGTTAACTCAAAAGCGAGGTGGAGATTGATGTGAGAAATGAGCTCTTCGGGTTGGAATTGGGGGGAGCTGCTGCTACTCTGACAGAAGAGAAGACGATATATATATATATAGGAAAGGCAAAAGGTGGCGGAACATTGATTTGGTTGGGGTACTATTGATGTACAACTGTTAAAATTGAAGGGCTAATTTTAGCAAAACTATTAATAAGTTTGTTTATTCACCGGTTTTTATTGCAAAAAGTAGAAAAGTGGATGAAGGTCGTTTTAGTTATTTTTTATGATAAATATTTAAAAAAATCGCTGTTTTGTTAATTTATATTAATTATTTTCCATATTTAAAAATAAAATGATTTAATGAATTAATAAATGAAAAAAAGTTATCATCTACCAACCACAATATAAAATTAACTATTGAATATTTAGATTTGTAAAATCCTGCATTAATTAGATTAAAATAATATAATTGTTATGATTGTAACGAATTACTGATTTTTTTTTTAATTTTTTAATGATTGTAGTTGTAAATATTTAAATTTTCATTAATACATTTGTTATTTTTTGTTGAGATAAAATGTTATTATTACAAATGCTGATCGCTCAAAAATAAAATAGTTTTGTGATTATTTATTTTTAATTATCATATATGTATATATATACATATGTGTGTGTGTGGGTGAGTTCTAAACGAGAGAGTTGGATTTCGATGAGAAGCGTAAAAGAGATCTCAATCGTTGGATGCATATTAGGACAAGATGCACCGGATCAATCTCATATCAAGCGTGATTCACGGGTGTGTTTGAGATTAAAGGTGATCAACAGTCTAGAATTAAGAAAATAAGAGGATGAATCACAATCAATCATTTATTTAAATCATGTTTTAAATAGAACTTTCTCAAAGATTGTCTAAAATAACATGTGTCATTTGTTGCATATAGATTATATATGGAAATGCATTTAATTCTAGAGCGCATTTAATTAAAGTTTTTATTTAATATTTTTTTTCTAATTTTTGTGATTTAAGCATAATTAATTTTTTATCTTTTATGACAATAAAAAGAATTATTTTTTATTGAAGTAATAAATTTTAAATTTTTTTTACAATTTGTCATAAATTACATATGATATCCACAAGTAATCAACGTTTTTCCCAAAAAATTCACTAATTTCCGTTAAAATATCATATGTGCATATTGATCATAGCAAATTTAAAGGGAATAAAATGCAAGTTGTCCATAACATTACATGTAATATTTGTAAATTATGAATTACGTTTTAAATTACATGTGATCTCATATGCATATTAAATAGGTTATGCTATACATCATATGTGATTTTGTTTCTCTTTTTTCTTAATGTTTGATTTGAATCATTATTTTCATATTTTAAATCACATTTGATTAGGGAAAAAACAGGATTTTCTTGGAAAAAAGGGCCAATTAATTGTGAATTACATGTGATTTTTATGAAAAATATAAATTTTATAAATATTACCTTAAATAAAAAACAAATTATCCAAATGAAAGTTAAATTACAGATTTTTAAATGCCTAAAATA